CATGTTAATGACAAACCGCAGTTTCAGGTTAGTCGTTAGACGTTTGTGAATCGGTTTAGCTATGTAAACATGAAAGATTAATTTCATTTGAAGAGGCTGTCGCACTGAATTTCCGGCAGACAACAGCACTGTTTGATTTTCAAATTGCAACAAAAAATCCTATTTTCACTCACTGGCTAAAAAATTGTACTTAAGCATATACCAAAAAGACTGATTAAGTAACTTTCTTACTGAGCATATGGTATGAACAGAAATTCAGGATAAAAAACGTTCCGGTAAAAGACTTACGCGAAGGGTGACCGCACCGCTTATTCACGTGAATTCTATCGGCACATAAATTAGGAAAACCAAAGCACTACTTCATTCCACATTTTGTATTGTCCAGCAACTTGTTTCAATAATAGACAGACTCCTCGCAGTAATCCGCACTTAGAAGACAAGCCGACTGTAAGAAAGCCGGCGTGTGAAATCTAAGTAACAAAGATGAACGAACAACTAGATAAAAAATACACTTAAGTAGAACATCATAAGCATTAAACTTCAAAAATGATCCTTAAAACGTGATAAGATGTCCTTTGTTTTCACGAAATTGTCATGAGAGGCAATCCTTGATCAGTATTGTTCAATCGAGTTTCCCACACTTTTGTCGTTTTAAAATATGCCTCCATGAACTCTCTACAGTGCAAGGAGAATGCAACTACAATACAACCTATTTCACGTTAGGGCTCTTTCAGGTGGCTTCAGACACTTTCAAACACCCTCAAACACTGTTAAATGATCGAGCGTTTGCCTCTTTTGTCTTGGCTTAAATAATATATATTTAGTTTTCTTAATATTAATCGAACGCCTATTAGCTTGAAACCAAGAAGTTAACTTAATCAATTTAAAATTCACTTTCTGAATCAGGAAATTGAGGCTTTTATGGCGAAGGAAAACGTTAGTATCATCCGCGAATAAAATGAATTCAAATTCTTTTGATACGTCGCAAATATCACTAACATAAATAAAAAACAACAGAGGTCCAAGGATGGAGCCCTGTGGGACACCACAATCAACACATCAGGTAGCTAAACAAGGGCCGTTGTATCGAACATANAAACGCGGACTAGTAAAACGCTGACTAGTAAAACGCAGACTAGTAAAACGCGGACTAGTAAAACGCGGACTAGTTAAACGCGGACTAGTAAAGCGCTGACTACTAAAACGCGGACTAGTAAAACGCGGACTGGTAAAATGCGGACTAGTAAAACGCGGACTAAGAAAACGCGGACTTGTAAAACGCGGACCTAGTTTTTCGTGTTTTTCGGTGTTTGTAAATCGAATAAAACTTAACGGTAACGGACTCAACATTAACAACAACAAAATAAACAATTTCATACGAAGGCGATCACAAGACTTAATAGAGAGCCAATTTAAAAAAATTTCTCCATATGATGTTTTGCCAATTCATTTTGACGGTTTAGTGAGTGACAATCCATGTTTGAACATTAAGCTACAAATGGTTTTGACATGCGCCAGATACAAACGATTTTATAAGTTTAGTCTAAGAAAGAATTTTATTCAGCACCAGTTCAAAATCCTAATTTTGTTTCATCGAATCATTCAGTAGCCAGTTGAATAATTTTTTTCATGATTTTTCATGTTTGTAAATCGAATAAAATAAAACGGTAACGGACATAACAAAAAAGAAAAGTTCATACAAAGGCACAAGACTTAATGGCGCGTAAATAGTTGTATCCAGATATGAACGTAATTGTATTGTGGGTCATAGCAATAAAAACTGCATAACTTTGGAGGCGCGAGCCGACAATTTTCGTTTTCTAACGCAACTAAGTTAAGACAATTTTACTTAAATAACAATCCGAGATGCAACACAGATCTCTGAACAGTTCAACGACATCAATAACAATTAACGGTCTACCTAGAAATAAGAGGTATCATAACTGCTAACAGTAACGGACAGTACGAATCTACAAATGACATTTCTATTGTAATTTAGCGTAAATGTAATCTGTAGTAACAATCCCAGATGCTACAGCTCAACGGCGTCAATAACAATAAATATATGTTATTCACCAGCATTGTCACCTTTACATATGAGCTGATCAATATCCACCTTTAACCACTCTCTGGCAGTGTACCTTACACAAAGGCAAGTACTCGGTGAACATTGCAAATAAGAATGATAAAATAGCCGAATTGAGGATTGAGATTTCTGACCTCAAAGAGCTCACTAATATACAAAAGAGATGAAAAATATAATTGTGTGCTCTGATTCTAAAAAAAGCTGGCTTTAATATCAGCGAAAGCAGTACAAACAACTTAAGACACAGAGCGTAAAAACACCTTAAAATGTAGGCTTGCAGCCAAAAAACCGAGAAAATGAAAATTTCTTTAAAAACCTGTCAGACTATCAACCATCTGACAGCCAAGTCAGCATGCTATCAAAGGGTCTCAAATTCATCCCAACGCCCGTGACAGACGAATTTAAAATCAGGCCAACTTTGGCGAGATTTAGTCGCAAGACGAATGCGCCTCCGTTACACCTTTCACGGACAAAACAAAGAACCACTTCTGTTTCATATTACACTAAGACTAGGTTTACACTAAAGGAGAGTTTTCCGGATTCGTAAATGTTTCCGGATTCATCAATTTTGGAATATTCGGATTCGTAGGCGTTTAAACTGAAAGGATAATCGGATTCCTGACCGTTTACACACAACGACAACTCCGGGAACATTCGAAATGGAATGGTTACCAAGCCCAGTGTTGTTTCGCCGTTCGATCGACAAAGTGAAAATGCCTCCCCCAATCCCCCGAAAAAGGGTAGAGTAGATCCAGATGCCACTGAGGCAAATTTGAACTGGACAGATGCCAAGCTATCTACGTCGTCGGCGATTAAGTGTGGGTGACGGTAAACTTTTTCACAATAATAATTTGCGTTTCCTCAGAAATACTGCAGTACACATGATGAAATTTATCGCCTGAACCTGCAACAAGATTAGGCAACCAGAGACCGCCAGCAATGTTAGCACCAGATCCTCCACTTTGGTTTCACCGCAAACTCAAAAGATTGCAGGCGGAAATAATATCCGGATTCGAGAAAAAAAGCGGTTACACGACAAAACTTTGCGGATTCAAACGTTATCGGATTCAAAGTTCCCACTTTAAATTCCGGATTCAAAATCTCCGGAGACACGACCAAACCGAGTAGTTTTTATTTCGGATTCGTCCACTTTCGGATTCAATCCGGTACTAAAACGTTTCGGATTCATCACGAATCCGGAACAATTTCCTCTAGTGTAAACCTAGTCTGAATGCCACAGGTTCAGTCTTCTATTGCCCTTCAGAGCTACTTGGAAAATTGTCATAACGCTACTTGCAGACTGCATCTAAGCCAAACAATACTTTGTAACGCAATGAGGTCACAGCTCTAAAAGAGTTGAAACAAACTCTGCTTTAAACCTCACCGAAGCAACACAACAATAGTCATCATGAATAAGACAGAAAAAAACGAAAGAGGCCAAAGTGCAACTCAACAACAGAGTTCACTTCAAACCTTTCAAAGCACCGATAGTAAAAGTCACGTAGGAAAGGGTTAATGAGATCATTGACCAAATGCATCGGGGAAAACACATTGATGGCTTAGAAATGGCTTTCACAAACTCCCAATATCCGCCTTCGGATACACAATTTGCCATTGCCGAAAACTATTTTTACTAATCACCCGATCATTTCTTACAAAAAAGGAAAATCCCTTACGACAAGCAAAAATACAGTTCGAAGGCGATAAAGCGATGCGACCACAAAAGCTACATGGGGAGTCCGTGCCGTTCTGTGTTTATCTTTATTCGCATGGCAAAAATTCATCGTTTTTCGGCGCAAAACTATCCACAGAAGCTTCAGATGATTTCTGGGACAATTCATCGTCTAAAAAAGTCGACATTTCCCGACCGACAGCGAAACAGTTCTCAAAAAAGTAATATGTGCGATTCTCTGTGCAGCGAACAAAGAGAGTTGTGACAAAGCAAAGCATAAGTTTGTTGAG